CCAGAAGATGAGGATGAGGACGACATACCATACCCCGAGCCTAGTGACGAGCAACCGCTGCTACCACCGCCGAATTTCCGACCCTTCTTCACCCTGATCGAAGACACGACGTCGGGCGAGCACTACCACCCGTATACACACTATGTCTTTGCCGACGACGACCCGACCATCATAACTGCTGCATCGATGCGAGGCCTGGGGCTGGATGATACAAAGTACCTCCCGCATGATGCGCCGGGTGGAGGGGAGAGACGACGCAATCAAGGGAGCGAAGAAGGAGACGAGCAAGACTCACCAGTCGAGTCACCGCTGCCCCCGCCCATACCGGGTGTCAAGGAGCATTACCTCATAATCGATGTCGGCGCAGACGGGCGTACAGTCGTAGATGCGCAGTCGCTTTCGTCAGAGTGGCAAATCACCGATACGGACGTACGGATAGCTCCCTCGTTCGATGAGGACTCGCCGGATCAAGGATACATGCTGCGCATACAAGGCATCGACATACCGAGGAAGAGCAAGGGCAAAGGCAAGGGTGAAGTCGGGCAGGATAGGCTGACTGAGGCGAGAGAACAGCAAGGCGACATCTTCGACGCGTTGGATGGGCTAGTGCAAGATGTTGAAAGAGGACTGGAGACTGCTAGCAAGATCTCAGGTGCGAGGTTAAGAGAGGAAGACCAGGGCACCTTGACTGATGTTCGCGAGGGCGACGTAGAGAAGACGGTGGGTGATGAAGCATGATGCTGGTATGCTCTGCAGTTTCGCAAGTGGCTCCAGGTCACCTGGCACACTCCCCGTTCAGTGCGCATATGTATCGAGCACGCGCTTCTTTGCTACTTCCACTGTGTTGACTCAGAGACGGCTTATAGTTGGTGGCGTGCTTGGCTGCTCAGCTCGAACACCCATGCCGTAACATCTAACAGTCATACACGCCTCTGTAAAAGCCAGTCACTCATTTCAGGAGCGACATTCACATGCTGGCTTTGACTCCACGGCGCGATGCCGTCTTTCCTCACCTACTCTATACTTATACCCGTCGCAAAGCTGCGAGTCGCACAGCGCGTGTGCCTCTACCATTCGAGCATCATGTATTATCTCTGCTTCATACCACAAAGTAATAGACACAGGCTATCTACTTCAGCACGGTTCCTCTCACTTTGCTCACCGCTCTGTTGTTGCCGGTCGCTCCTTCCTCCCTCCTTCTCTCACTACAAGCGAGGCGGGACGGTATGGGCACGGGCACCCACTATATGATTCAAACCTCTCTGCGTCAAGCTTCCTCATCACTCCCTACCTCCACTTCCTATCATTTCCCTAGCTTTACAGTCAAGTATCAATCATGGCTATCTTACGCACCCTCCTCGTCGCTGCCTCAGTGCTCTGCCTCACCACAGGCTACGAGCTCAAGGCGGAATACAACGCGAGCAACTTCTTCGACGATGGCTCCTTCCGTTTTTACAACGGCTGGGACCAGTTCACCCAAGGCATGGCTCTCTACGTCTCCAAGGAAGAAGCAACTTCACTTGGACTTGCGCGCATCGACGACGGCAAGGTACATCTCGGAGTCGATACAACTCAAGTACTCCCTCCGCAAAAGCCCGGTGAAGGCTATGGCCGCAAGAGCGTCCGATTAGAAGGAGTGCAGACGTTCGACAACGGACTCTTCATTGCCGACTTTGAGCACCTGCCTAGTGGATGTGGCATGTGGCCTGCTTTGTGAGTCGTACTTGCAACCATTCCCTCACCTTCTCGGACTTCCGGGCCAGTACCGACTCCAGCATTCTCTTGTGCTCATCATCGTTTGTGCGGCGTATCAGACATGTACACCTGCTAACCATTTGCAGCTGGCTTCTCCACGACACAGGTCATCAAGAGGAGTGGTACTCCGAGTTCGACATCATCGAAGGCGTCTCTATGAACTCCCGGAACTCGCTCAGCCTTCATACCGGCCACACGCCATGCAAGATGCGAGACAATGGCGGATCGGGTGAGACGCGCCCAGACCTCGAATGCATGGAACATCGTGACTGCGGCGTCAATGGTCCTGAGGGCTCCTTCGGTCAAGCCTTCAACGATAACCGAGGTGGTATCTGGGCAGCACAAGTCGAAGACGATGGCATCAAGGCATGGTTCTTTCCTCGGGGTCACGAGCCATCGGGTTGGGATAGCGCCAATCCTGACCCCAACACATGGGGCACGCCTGTGATGAACTTCGTTGGGGATGGCTGCGATATTCGCAATACGTTCAAGAAGATGAAGATCGTAAGTAGACTCAATCTCGTGGATGTGAGTACCTACTAACATAGGACAGATCATCAACATTACCTTTTGCGGCTCCATGGCTGGAGGCAATGCATGGTCTGGCTACACACACTGCGCAGCGGAGACTCACGACGAATCTTGCGCTCACTTCGTTGCAACCAACCCCGACAAGTTCAACGAAGTGTACTATCTCATCAACTCGGTGAGAGTTTATCAGAACGATGCCGGTGCTGGCTACCAGGATAACAGCCTCTTACCTTCTCTGCCCCGAACGTCCATGACTTCATCCAAAGATGAGCGCCTCTCAGCGATGACTGCAGAGCAATCTCCCCTTCCAGCTGTCACGACTACCATCATCACCACTACGAAGATCATAACTTTGCCAGCGACGTTGACTCACGGATCTGGCTACGTCCCGTACAGTTCTTCGGTATCCGCCACAGCTCCAACAACTTTCGAGGTTCTCTACGGCGCAGCGCCCACGGTAGTTACCGTAACAACGGTCATTACGTCAACGAAGGTTATGACACTGCCTGCCACTTTAACTGGCGGTAATAACATGACTCCCTATGACCCTTCAGCATCCTCCACGACTCTCATCACCTTCCACAACAAACGTCTCTTGTTGACGGCTTCCGAGGCGGCTCCAGCATTGGAAGCATCATCGGCGACATCCACCAAGCCCGTGGGTACAAGGACTGGCGGCGATCACTACATTGGTTATGATCCGTCAGCGACGTCTACATCTACCAAGCCCGTGGGCACAACGACTGGCGGCAAATACTACAGCGGTTTTGATCCGTCAGCGACGTCTACATCTGCCAAGCCTACAGGTACAAGGATCGGAGGCATTACCAACTACACCACCGTACAGACTCCTCTGACGTCATCTACGAAGCCTATAGGCACAACGATGGATGGTGTTACTAACTACACCACCGTCACTGCTTCGGCTGTGGCTTGAGTTGTGTCCGCGAGCGCAAGCCGAGCGCGCGGCTGATCCCTTAGCTCGTTGGGTGAACAAGAGTGATTCGATCTCAACCATGCATATTTTGGCGTTATGGAAGAACATCTGAGGCGGGAGAGAATGTACGGATAGATGAGCAAAGGCGGGAGATCAGAGGTTCAGCGATTTCATTTCAAAATACAATGCCAGATAGGCGCGGATATATACGTGCAAATATATCATCTTTCCTCACCTCTTCTCTCGCGTCCCTCTCTACACCCCTCGCCCCATTGACATCGCCATCCTACCAAGGAATCACCTCCCCAAACCGATCCACCAATCTCCCACTCTCCCACCCTTCCTTATCCATCTTATCCAAAACCCTCATACAGTCCCTCACACTCTCCTGCACCGAAATCGCCCCTTCCTCCTTCCACTCCACTAACCCCGTTTCTACTCTTCCGGGATGCAGCATCAAAAATTGCACATCGGGTACGTCGATAGTAAGACTCTTCACCACCGCATTCAGCGCCGCTTTACTGGCTCGGTACGCGTAACCACCGCCCGCCGTGTTCGCCGATATGGAGCCCATCCGCGAGGATAAGATGACAACTTTAGGTTTCGATGCGGATTGATCAGCAGAGAGTTGGAGGTTCCGCAAGAAAGTTTTAACAATGTTAAGCGTGCCCCAAGTGTTGATCTCAAACGTCCGCATCATAGTTGCGTGATCCATGGCCTCCAGTGTCTCGGTCGCGGCGACATTTTTGTTGCCCTGTTTCTGCTGGGCGACGATTTTCGGAACGAGTCCTCTGATGCCGGCGCAGTGGATGATAAGGGATATCTCAGTGTTCAAGATGTTTGAAGCGAATTCTTTGAGTTCTTCAGTAGAGGTAATGTCGAGTCTGTGGAAGGAGATGGTGTTTTGTTGGTGGGCGGGGAGAGGGAATTCCTGGTTGTCAATGGCTATGATGATTGGCGGTGTTGGGAGGGAGGCATAGTACTGGACGAATGCGAAACCGAGACCGGAGGATGCGCCTGTTATTAGGATGGTTTCTGGCGGCATTTTGGGTTGTGGTGTTAGGGTTTATGGTGTTAGGGTTTGTGGTGTTAGGGTTTGTGGTGTTAGGGGTTGTGGTGTTAGGGGTTGTGGTGTTGGTGTGTTAAGAGGCTGAGGTAGGCAGGCGACTTTGGGAAGTTGTGTAGGTACACAGTCGATGTATTACAGATCACGACTCAAAGTGGCAATTTTGTTGAAAGGAAACTATACTACAACAGGTCCTGGCGTCGGAAGGAGTGGGGGTGAAGAGCCTCAGGGTCCTAGTCCATGCCGCCTAGGTTTGCCGATCTGAAGGTGACGATGGTTCCCCGCAGTCTACCCGTTGGCGGCAAACGGGTAACGACCCGCATTACGCATTTGGCTTTGAAGACGGATATAAAGGCTATCTGGATATGTTTTCGTGGTACAACGATCATCACAAGTTCGACTGCATTTGAAAGAAGGTGCCAAGTGGCCTTTTGCATGACGTAGCTCTTGCCGGCACGATGTTTTATCAACCTGGGAAAGAAGACCATGGGTTACCGTATGATCCATTCAAAGTATGCATATTTATGAGTCTTTCCGGATACATCCAAAAATCCCTAATTGTCAGCTAACATACACACACTAACGCCCAACATCCAGGCATGCGTCCTCCCCCGCCCCATAGGCTGGATATCCACCCTCTCCCCAACCGGCGCCGCAAATCTAGCTCCCTACTCGCAATTCAACAACCTCACCTTCGACCCGCCCTACGTCATGTTCAGCGCCAATCAAACACCATCCAATAGCCAGAAAGACACCGTCCGCAACGTCGAAGCTACGGGGAAGTTTGTCTGGAATCTAGCGACGTATGAACTGAGAGAAGAGGTGAATAGAAGTGCAGTGCAGGAAGAGTATGGTGTTGATGAGTTTGAGACGGCGGGGGTGGAGAAGGAAGATAGTAGGGTTAGTGGGGTTGTTGTTGTGAGTGGCGATGGGGAGGGGAAGGAAGGCAAAGAGGGCAGGAGGGAGATGATGATACCGATGGTGAAACGCAGTCCAGTAAAGTTCGAATGCGAGTACTACACCACACTACGCCTTCCTGGGAATCCGCCTATGGGCTCGGCGGATGTGGTGATTGGGAAGGTGGTTGGTGTGCATATCGATGAGCGCGTGTTGACAGACGGGAAGATTGATGTAAGGAAGACGGAGCCAATTGCTAGATGTGGGTATTATGAGTATGCGGTCGTGAGGGAGACGTTTGAGATGCGGATACCGGGGGAGGATAAGGCGATTTTGGCGGGGCTGGAGGGGAGTGCGAAGAAGAATGAGAGGTTAGATAGGGTTGGAGATGTGGATGGGGAAACAAAGTGATGAGATGTATTGTACATATGAGAGATATTGCAAGACTAAATTCCGCAACACCGAAAACTAGAAACCAAGACAAGCGGCATACCCAATGCAAACGAGGGCGGCCCCATGTGTCTGTTCTGACGCCATGCGCGTGGACATTTCCCGCAAGCTGACGACACGTGTAACGAGTCCCAGTGCTTAGTCGTGTTCTTGAGGAAAGCTATCGAGAAACTCCTTGACCTCCGGGTTTGGCCCGCCTAGGTCTTTTTTGGGAAGCGCCACGACATGCAGACCTTCGAGAGACCTCGCTCTGCTGACTGTGCGGACCGTTAGCCACAATTCGCAATTTGAATGATAAGTGAAAGGACTACGTACGGGCTACGTATACCATCTCTGTTTCCCAGGCCGTCCATAGATCAGCCTTGACATTGCTAAGTGTCATGCCCTGGTAAACTTGTCAGAATAGATGCCGATTCGGTCGAGCTGTCTTCTTACCTGTGCTTTATGGACGGTCATGGCGTAGCCAGCTCTCAAAGGTATCTGCGTCCTTGAGAGAAGGCTGTAGGGTGGGGGATGTCCATACTCAGATGCCATACAGTCCGCAAATATGGTCCTGGTTCGGCCGTTGTCGAATCTGACGATCGGCCAAGACTGGCGGCCGTTTTTCTGCGCGAATTCAAGTATTTGGTAGTGACAGTACTTCGCGTGGGGGCCGGAGAGTCCATTGTCCTTGTCGGGCAGTCTGGATTCATCGTAGGGTTCGAAATCAACTATCGTACCCTGTGATCCGTTGACAAGATCCTCTTCCGGGGCCAGGTTTTGCAGCAATAGAACACGCATGCCTTGTTTGAGCTGCACCTTGTGGTCGTAACGATGACTACCCTGTACATGTGTCAGTGACTACAGACGAAGATGTTTGGTTACCTACGATGCGTGGTCTTTGCTTGTCGATCTCTTGCAAGTACGTATCACCCTTGTGATGATCTTTGAAGTTAAAGTGATCCCTGCATGTATACTCCAGAGCAGGCGTGCTCAGTTCCCTCAGCTTTTCCCGGTTGACTCTTTTGACCAGGTGATTCTTAGGTAATAACACAACGGCGTCTTCCAGCTCTGGGCGCGGTTGGAGCAAAATTCTCTGAAGATGTTCCGGAACTGTGCCAGCTGACCATTGTTAGTAATGTTGGCATGTCGTAGACAGTCAAGGCCGTCAAGATCTGATGTACTTACTCAGGCGATATTCCTGCAGGATGGACTGGAATACTGGATCGCTTTGCCGATAAATCTTCGTGAGATGAATGCATTCGAAATTACATTCCTGCCGTATTTAGTAACACGATTGAAGTCATAGAAGCAAAGACTACATACCCGCCACGCGTCGCTACGGAAAGCCCATTTATCTTTGTCTAGAAACTCGGTCTCGGTGCATTTGGCATTCTTCGGATGAGTCATGCATTTATCCTTACTCTCATGTTCCACAAGCACTTTCCCGCACCGGTAACAACGTTCGAAGGGCTTGACTGGTGGGAGCTGACAAAACTACAGTCGTTAGCTGTTGAACTCACTGAGGTGGGCCTGTCAACATACATCTCCTGTAACAACTATCTGTACGCCACCAAACGCTGCAGTGCTTTTTCTAGCACACTTCATCACCTCGTTCAAACGGCGAAAGGAGTTGCTATCCACCATGCTGATCTCATCGATGACAAGGACATCAGTTTGCTCGAAATGATACGCAGTGGTCTTTTCGTCCTTGTTCTTCTTGAAAAGTCTTTTCTTAAGCTCATCGATTGAATAATCATCTTTCTTTGGATTATCAACCGGAACCCAGCCCGCGTAGCTGTGTAGCGTGATACCTCCCACGTTCAGTGCAGCAAGGTTGGTTGGTGCGATCACGTCGACTCGTTTGCCCGCAGCTCCCAGTCTTGTCTTAAAAGCTCTAAGGATAGCAGATTTTCCACAGCCAGCCGAACCAGTGTAGAAGACGTTGCGCCCTTGCATGATGCGAGCTACCACCGTCTCTTGCTCGCGACTCAATGTCACCTCAGGTTCAGGATTGCCTGTGCCTGACCCAGATATTGCTTGAGATGATGAGGTGGTGGCAGAAGACCCGGCAGGTGGCCTCGAGTTCGACGAGGATGCGCGCTGAGGAGTTGAAGTCATCGATGTCTGTTGGTGCTGTTGGTGCTGTTGGTGCTGTTGGTGATGTTGGTGCTGTTGAAGCTGCTGAATCTGTTGAATTTGGTGCTGTTGAAGCTGTTGAAGCTGCTGAATCTGTTGAAGTTGCTGAAGCTGTTGATGCTGGTGGTGTTGTTGAAGCTGTTGATGCTGTTGGTATTGCTGAAGCTGTTGGTGCTGTTGAAGCTGTTGGTGCTGCGGATGCTGTTGAAGCTGCTGATGCTGTTGAACTTGCTGATGTTGTTGAACTTGCTGATGTTGTTGAACTTGCTGATGTTGTTGAACTTGCTGATGTTGTTGAACTTGCTGATGTTGTTGAACTTGCTGATGAACTTGCTGATGTTGTTGAAGCTGCTGGTGTTGTTGGAGCTGGTGTTGTGGTTGGAGCTGCTGGTGTTGTGGTTGGAGCTGGTGTTGTTGTTGAAGCTGCTGGTATTGTTGTTGCTGTTGAGATGTTTGTTGTTGTTGCACCGCTCCATGCTGCTGAATGCCTTGAGGTTGCTGAGACCGAACGCCCAGATGAGCCAGCCAAGCGCGACCCTTTGGGCGATTAAGTGCCTCGTCGACTGCGGGAGCCCTTGCGCGCAGCCAAGCCCATGCTTCATTGACAGACGAATGCTTCTGGCTTGCGTTCCCACCGAAGCCTGTGAGCACCTGGTGCCTGGCATATTCATAGTCGACATATACACCAGGCACATGTCCCAGTATTCCATAACACTTGCCGAATGCAGGTGTCTCTTTGTCAACGAACAGTCCCCATTCTTCGATGGGAAGCTGGGAGCGAGGCAGTCTCGCAGTCCGCTGCGCTACTTCCGGCGCAGGTCTTCGATAAAGTTTATCGAGATCGGCTATAAGCTCGTCTGCCGGCTTTGACGTGTCGGGCTTTCGTTTCTTATTCTGCTTGTTGCCATGTCCTCCTTCATACCCCCTCTTTCTTGCCATTGTCGCGGGTCGTCCCGTTCAAGAATGCGATTGCGTCGACGGTAAAGCGTCGGAGGATAACAGTGTGTCGTGGAGAACCGTGTGTTCGCTTGGTATCAGGTACCGTCGTTTGGTCGTGGTATGCGGAAGGTGTTTCAGGGCGGGCGAATCTGCTAGAAACTTGTAAGCATCAGGGAGTCCGAGCATCTTACCGTCTGGGGTAATCTGAGCGGCGCGAAGCGGGTAATTCGACTTACTTCAAATCGACATGTGTATAACGATAAGAATATGCGCAGTGCGCAGTGCGCAGTGCGACGTACACGTAGGTCGTAGAATGATTAGCTGTGAAGATGCATCGTTGCGGCACAGCAGTTCTCGCTCGCACGCGCGCCGAGAGCGATGATGTAACAGGGACGCGCACGCCAAGCCAACGCCCCAATCGCGTAGCTCTCACGCTAGCACGGGGCTGTCTCTCTCGAACATGTGGGGATGGGTCGCTTTTCTTGTGGCCGGACTCATATGGTGGTCCGATTGCGATTACTTTCGAGTACTGCACTTTGGTTAGTCGGGTATATGATGATGCTGATTTTCCGAGAGAGGCAGAATCGGTACGTCTCCATTCACATCCACGGGCGCGGGATGAGATAGTGTTAGCGACATTTCTACAGGAAAAGCAAGTACTGGGCAGGGATTGTAACCCATCACCAGGTCAGGAGAGACAAGAAATAATGTATCATGATAAGTAAGTCATATCATAGCTCATTCGACGCATGCTTAATAGCTCATACGACACTATCTCCACTACACATCCCCCTCCAACCAAAACCCCCCTAGTAAACATACCTAAAGTTAGGGTTCTCCTTATCCGTCAAATCATCAAAGCCATGCGCATTGCTAATATCCTTTCCAAACTCCCTATCCTTCTTCTTATTCCTGAGCGTGAGGTTGAACCTCAAAAACGCAATAACAACAAGCAGCGCGCTGTAGCACCCGAGATGAATAGCCAGGGACTTGAGATAGCGTGGGTCGCCATCGAAAAACACCTTGGGTCCAATCGCATTACCCGCGCACCACGCGAAGAAGTTCATGGTGATGCAGACGGACTTCTTGGTCTGCCCGCCGACGTTGCGGGTAAGCATGGACATGCCGAGACCCTGGGCGGCCCAGAAGGTGAAGACGATCCAGTAGGAGATGAGCAGACCGGCTTTGGTAGCGTTGTTTGTGTTTTTGACGGTCATGATGATGATTGTGCCGACGAAGGCGGGGATCATGAAGACGGCCATGGTAAGCAGGTTTTGCTTTGTTTTCTTGACCATCCAGGCGGAACCCATTAGTGTGGCGATGATGACGACACCGAGGACCATGGCGAGGAGCTGGACTTGGAGAGTGTCGAAACCGAGGTCTTTGATGATGATGTTGTAGAAGGCGCCGAGACCTGACGTGGGTAAAGTGGTGAAGATCTGAATGCCCATGTAGCAGTAGGTTTGGGGGTCGAGGAGGGCTTCTTTGAATTGGTAGGCGCGGAACTTCTTGTTTTGGAGACCGGTTTGGTTGGAGCGTACGCGCTCAACCATGAGCTTCTTGTCTTCCTCTGACCAGCATTTGGCGCGCATGGGGCTGTCGGGGAGGCGGAAGATGACCCACAAACCCCAGATGAAGGAGAAGCAACCGTATGTGATGAATATAGCTTGCCAGGATCGGATAGAAGCGTTACCGGGATTCGCAGAGAAGCTAGGATGTCTGATGTTGGTGAAAGCGTATGCGAGGAGACCGCCGACAATTTGTTGCATGCCGTCTGGAGGTAGGGATTAGTCGGTGTTGTATGTGTTTGACTTTGTATAACTTACTCATCATGTACCAGTAAGTAACGATCTGGGCCTGTTCCTCACGCTTGTACCAGAGAGAAGTCATGATGAGGAAAGCGGGCTGGCAGACAGCCTCGAAGATACCAAGGAGTGTTCGGCAAACGACGAGCGCAGGGAAGCTGAAGCAGGCTGCATGGCAGGCAAGTACGGTACTCCATGCAAGAATGTTGAATCCGAGGTATTTGGCTACTGGTACTCGTTGGAGAATCCAGTTGGTTGGGTATTCGACGACCAGTACAGCGAGGTAGATACAGGTGGTGAGCCACCCAAACTGTCATGAGTCAGTACATGATACTAGTGCCCACAGATTTTGCAACTCACAGTCTCTTTGGAAAGAAGTGCGGGAATATCCTCACGGATACCCATGATGGAGGTAGCGGACATTGTGCCCTTGTCGAGCGACTGCAGAAAGTACGTGATGACCATAATAGGCAGCACACGACGGTCGATCATCTTCTTTAACCGGGCGTTCTCCTCTTCCGAGATGAAAACTTCAGAAGCGTTTGCGTATTTGGCGACTTCCTTGTCGATACGGTTGTAGTCGGCATGGTCGCCCTTCTCGTCTCCTCCTTCGGAGAACACGCGCTCGACCTGGCTAATGTCCTGCTTATCGTCCGAATGGCGAACAGCCTCGTGTGTGTGGTGCACGCCATCGGCACTGGCTCTGGTGGTAGCCATCTTGAAAAGAAACTTCCGAGGGCTTGACAGCGGAAGAAAAAATGAGGTTTGCAAAGAAGAAACCTCAGGACTCGCGAGTGAGCTGGCCAGGATGGAGGAGCGGTCGAGTTGATATTTCTACCCGATTTTAGATTGTTCCGTCCAAGCGTTCCCCGGCCTCAAGCTACCCCAGGCTGGCAGGCTACTCCGCAAATCCTAGGATCCAAGACCTGCACGTTCAACTTCTAGCCGGTATTGACTACTGGTGATCATCTCCTTGTTTCCGCACCCCAGTTCGAGGTAGGATTCTGGAAAGGCGTGCTGCAAGCGCGACCCTGTCGGCGCCAACGCTGCATCTTGAGTCGCTAGCCTCTGGGGTTCGCCAACCCCGCCACCATGCCGTCCATACAGATAGTGGAGTGCTTGGGAATGCGGAGTAGGATCAAGCAGTGTGGAGAGTGCCACCACTTGGTGGTGGTCCGTTTTGTGGTAAAACATCGGCGTAGATGCTGCCGAAAGGCCACCCGCGTCACTCGTGAAGGCATGTGATGGGTCAAGCTCGCGCGAGTGTCATGCGAAGCTTCGTTGCTGGGCCCAAGGCGGCTGGTGGAAGATTTTGTCCGCCTGCAGCGAGTTGGCGGCGGCTGGCTTTCCCAGGATGAGTCGTGTCAGGCAGCCAAGCTCCTTCACGGCGGTCGCACTTCCCTCCACGGTGTCTTCCGGCCCTCCAAGAGGTAAGCGATTGGTGACCTTCACGCCGGTATCGTCAGTTTAGTGATCAGCGAATCTCGGTGCAATGCGATGCGAGCGCGGCAGAAACCTTAGAGTGGGATGTCAGCAGCAGGCGTCCGTGGTCTCGGTGTTGATGTTTGACACGAGAAAAGAGCCGTGCCTTCCAGGAACCCATCTGCTGGAGCGACTCCACGTGTGCCCAGCGCCCAGTCGGGGTAGAGATGGACGAGTCGGTGCAACAGGGCACGAAATCTGGCAGTGACATGCAGCATCGATGCAATTTACGCGGTTGAGGACCCTGAGCGTTCCCCAGTTTTTGCTCCCCGCTCTGTTCCTGGGTTGAGCTCTACCGACGCGTGTGACCGACGGCCTGTATCTAATACCCACTTGCTAGACTACGCGTGTGACGATATCTGTTCTCTTGCTGTCTTCTTCTAATACTTGTGTTTCATTCCTCAATTGCTTGTATCGCTGTAATCCTCAGTCAATTGCAAACACCCCATAAAACATCCGCTGCGAACGCGACGTAACCACGAAACGCGCCCACGATGTCCACACTCACAGTCCACGGCCTCACAAAAGGCCAAATAGATGAGAAGATCCTCCTCCTAACCCACAACCTAATCAACATCAACGACACAACCGGCGAGTTCCTGCTAAAACTCGACGATGGCCGCATCATCGACACCAAAGGCTGGGACGGCTGGGAGTGGACACACGGCATCGGTCTCTACGGCCTATGGCACTACTACACTTTGACAGGCAGCACAGCAACAATGGACATCATGCAAGGCTGGTTCTCCAAGCAACTCAGCAAAGGCACAACCAAGAACATCAACACCATGAGCCCCTTCCTCACACTAGCATACCTATACGAAGAGACAGGAAACAAGACATTCGTCCCCTGGCTAGACACATGGGCAGAATGGGTCATGCACGGTCTGCCCCGCACCAAATTCGGCGGCTTCCAACACGAGACATACAACTCGTTCAACAAAGACGAACTCTGGGACGACACCCTCATGATGAGCGCACTGCCCCTCGCAAAGATCGGTCTTGTGCTCAATCGACCCGAATACGTCGAGGAGGCAAAGCGCCAATTCATCCTGCATTGCCAGTACCTCTGCGACACATCCACAGGCCTCTTCTTCCACGGCTGGAAGTGGGAGGACAAGGGCGGCTTGGAAGTCGGACACAACTTTGCGCGAGCACGGTGGGCGCGTGGAAACTCGTGGTTGACGATTGCGATTCCGGATTTCATTGAGCTGCTCGATCTCAAGGAGACGGATCCGCTGCGCCAGTTCCTCATTGGTATTCTTGAGTCGCAATGTCAGGCGCTGTTGAAACTGCAGGGCGAGAACGGCATGTGGCGCACTCTTCTCGATATCCCGGTCTCAGAAGGAAGCTATGAGGAGGCGTCTGCTACGGCGGGCTTTGCGTATGGTATGCTCAAGGCGTGTCGGAAGAGGTATATTAGTGGGGATGTGTATCTGCAGAGCGCGGTTAAGGCTATCAAGGCTGTCATGGGCAAGATTAGTGCAGAGGGTGAGCTGACGGAGACGAGTTTTGGAACGGGTATGGGTCATGATTTGCAGCATTATAAGGATATCAAGATTACGAGTATGCCGTATGGGCAGGCTATGGCTATTATGGCGCTGGGAGAGTTTATGAGGACGTTCATCTAGAGATGGTGTGTGGATAGAAGGGTTGAATGATGAATGAAAAGAAGAATACATCACTATTGCTTGAGCCAAAAAATCCAGAGAAACGAGGTAGACAAAAGCACACGCATTTCCACGGGAGGATGACACGAATGGATTTGAACTTTCAATTGAAGACTAACAAGGCGTCTTGATGCATCCAGTACACATCGTAACGCTAATCCCAAGCAAAAAAGCGGTGATTTTCCTTCCATGCCCCTACACCCAAACGCCATAACATGCAACAACCACTTTCCCCCATCTCACTCCTGATTCGCAACCTGAATCGGCATAACATTCCCCGAATCAACAATAATCTGCGTATCGAGCCTCTTCCCCGTATCCCCATATTCCAACCTCTTCCACGTCACAATGCGCGCCTGATTCGTATCAATCTCAAACACCCGTAACCTCCTGTGAAAGTGGTTATAGCCCCCGTAGCCACCAAAGCCACTACCACCCGCATAGCACATCCACAACTCTGGATCACCGGTCTCGGGTTCTTTGGAGAGGGCGCAGTAGTCGTTTACGTGGTCGTGGCCGCAGGAGACGGCTTTGATGTCGTATTCGACGAGGGCGTCTTTGAAGTGCGTGTTGAAAGCGGGGGCGGTGATGGGTTCGGTCCAGTTGCCCACGCGATCGTTGTCCGGGTTGCCGTATTCGGGGAGGGGGATGTGGATGAAGGCCATGTTGAGGTGTTTGTGGGTGTAGTGGCTGTGTGCTTCTTTTAGGCCGCCGGCGGTGGCTTTGAACCAGTCGATCTGGTTGGGCTTGAGCCAGTCGTAACCCCGGTAGTGGGTTTCGTCAGGTGAGTAGGCGTGCGTGTCGAGGAACCAGAGGGTTAGGGCGGAGTGCTTGCTGCTGTGGGCTTGGATCTCGACGAAGTAGTTCCCTACGCCGTCGATTGTGTTGGGACCAGGTTCGCTAACGGAGTAGGGGAGCGAGTCGTAGAGGTCCATTTGTGCGTGGCGGGAGAGGGTGCCTTCGTCGTCGTGATTGCCAAAGATGGCTGCGTACGGTATCTTGCGCTCTGCGAGGGGTTCGACTATCTTGAACATGGCCTGTGAGTGATTAGCTTTGTGGTGCGTAAAAAATGGGAGACGCCCTACGCTCTGCACATCAGGTGCTGTATCGCCGTTGACCTGGTCGCCAGACAAAACAACAAAGTCTGGCTTTTCGTCGTCGAGTACCCTCTCCACAAACTCTATGGTCCTGGGGTCGGCATCACAGTGTCCGCCGTTGTGGCCTGGCGGCTCTGCGTCTCTGCAGTGGCCAAGACCAGTGCTGAGATGCAGGTCGGAGATCTGCATAATTTTGAATTTGCCATCCTTTCTGATCTTGGGAACGGGCTTCTCGAGCTTGGCTGCTGGGCCTCTTCGTATGCTCAGGCGAGGATCTGTGCTTGCTTTGCCCGTCTCAAGATGCAGGGCTCCGTTCTTGACCAGCTCCCAGCCAGGGCGTGGCTCTACTGCGTCGGCGCCGAATAGGATATCTACGGCCGTCACTGCCTTTTTGTCGTCGCTCGCGTGACGCTTCAGCGAGCGCTTGATCCAGAGGCCAGCAGGGCGCGACTCCCACTTCTCCGACGCCTGGGCCTTCTCTCCCACAGAGGGATCAAGCTTGCCCGTGCGAACGTCGATGATGACCTTGTCCTCCGTCTTGAGTTCCTCTTCCCGCTTGCGCTTGATGTGGACGTATCCTTTGGTGACCCATCCGGAGCCGAGGTATAGGTCCTTCTCTATGCGATGCCACTTCTTCTGGTCGAGCATGCACTTGGAGAGGGGATTGATGGTCGAGCATGTCTGTACGGTGATATCGGTAATAACGAGGCCATCGTGGTGAAGTGGCATGTGACTGTGGACGGACTGGGGGAGGACGCGGTAGCGGTTATCGAGGAAGAATATGGTTAGGGAGACGACGATGGTGAGGGCTATGAGCTGAATGCCCGTCCGTACCTGGGACTGTTAGCACTGGCGGAAGAAGGGTCATGCTGTGCGTACTATGCGGCGCGTCATGGTGGAGGCTCCCGAAGGTGTGAGTAGTGGCGCATAGAGCCAGCGGCGGGTTTAGGATATGTGTCTTTCGCAGCAACGCGATCTCATCTCCATGACATGGGCTCGTTTGCGGAGGGTGTGAAGTCAAGCGTGTTGGGCGAGGCGCATGCGTTGGAAGTGTGCAGGTGCTCCATGTTGTTCTTGGCCGAACCATGGAGTCTCGGATCGTCAATGGCGATGCAGGGATTACAATCACCGCTGTGACGTTATGCATTATGCAGTACAGTAAAGTAGATATACTGATATGGCACGTAGCAGAGGCAGAAGCTTTGTCAAAAGGACTCAGTTCTCTATGTAAGATTTACTGCATTCCCACGCCTGCAGAGCATACTCGGTGCCCTCCTGCGGTCGCGGCTCGCTTGGTGCGGAGAAGGCGTCACCTCCGCATCTGACATCTTTCTTCTTACAAAGCCATGCGATCATCCTCTCTCCACCAGCTACGCCGTGCTGCACTCCGTCCGCGTGCGCGACACTTCACCAGTAGCTCCTGCCTCCATCGCGCTTTCCAAGGCAAGACCTCCGCTTCCACCACCCCGACCCCGCTCACAGGCGCATAGAAGGCGATGTTGTGCTCCTGCGCGAGAGCAAGGAGACTCAGGATGGGCGCCTTGTGAAACTGCAGGCGACCAAGACCCTCGGCACACACCGAGGCGTCGTCAAGCATGCAGATGTTATTGGAAAGGAGCCACGGCAAATTGTCCGCTCCCACAAGGGCGACACCTTCCGCATCTTCGAGCCTACGTTGGCCGAATATGTCAGATTGACACCGCGCCTTGTTACTCCAGTGCGTATTCCATGCCACGACGAGACAGAATACTCATGCTGACATCATACAGATCTACCCTTCAGATACCAACCTCATAGTGTCCCTGCTCGACATCCACGTAGATACTCCATCCGCTACCCCCAGCACAGAACCACCTCTTGAGATACTCGAAGCCGGCACAGGCCATGGAGCGCTGACGCTGCATCTCTCTCGCGCTATACACGCCGGCAACCCTCCAGTTCCAAGAACGCCGTCCTACGTCACTACCGAAGAAGAACCCGAAGACGCAGTATACCTCGGCGAGTCCATATCAGACCTACAGGAATCAGCACTATCGTCGTGGAAGCAGAACCGTCGCGCTATCATACATACCCTGGATATATCCAGTAAACATTCGGTACATGCGAAGAAGATAGTCGAAGGCTTCCGACATGGCATGTACGCGGGCAACGTCGACTTCCACGTCGGAGACGTGTCTGAGTGGATCGCCAAACAGAGAGCGTCGAGAAATACTGAGGAGCCATTCCTGACTCACGTGTTCCTGGATCTTCCCAATGCGACAAGTCACCTCGCTAATGTCGCTCCTGCGTTGCACGTCAATGGCATGCTCGCCGTCTTCAACCCAAGCATCACCCAGATCGCTGAATGTGTCGAAGCTATTCGGGAACATAAGATGCCCTACCTTCTTGATCAGGTCATTGAGCTAGGAGCAGGTACAATTCGCGAGTGGGATGTTCGTGCAGTCAGACCGAGAGCGCCTATGAAGAAGGCTCAGCCAGAGCAACCTTCCGAGCCTTCGGGCGATGAAAGCGCAGATTCAGAATCAGGCCAAGAAGGACGCGATAACGAGCTAAAAGAAGATCTGAGCAAACAGGAGGAGAAATGGGTCATGGTGTGCCGACCAAAAGCCGGCCAAATGGTTGTCGGAGGTGGCTTCTTGGGTCTATGGAGGCGTATGGAGAAGCCAGAGAAGAAGGAAGCGGCGGAGAGGCCTGACAGTGAACCATTGACTGAGTAGCTATAAGAGGTCCAGAATCAACCCCGTCTCACCGTCTCCTGAGGCGGTCTGATGTTCGGTTTCTGAACATCCACTTCCTATCGCGCCCGCCCACCTACACTCTGACGTCAACACTGAACTTCCACCACGTTCCAGTGAAAGTGAAAGTGAAAACCAGCCCAATGCAAACGCACAAACGCACTAACCGAATTCTCTGCATCGCAGCCTAAAGTTACATCTCTTCCTCGCGCTCCTCCATCCTCGCACCACCACACACCAAGCCGAACCTCTTCTGCTGCCCACTACTGTGATCCACTGCCCACAATCCTAACACACTCCACCAGTACATGCCCAGCCGTCGACGCACCCGCAGCGGCCTCACCCAAAACAAACTCAAGCAGTACATCAAGAAATCGCTACCCTACACCCGCAAACTCCGCTCCTCAGTACCAATGGAGTACGACCCCGACACCCAGCGCATCCGCGCCCGCCTCGACGCCTACGCGACTCCGCAGGAGATTGCCGAAGAAGCGTACCGTGTCTGCCGCAAGAACGCGGAGTTGAGGAAGGAGGTTTGTTCCAATACTACTGTCTGGAATATTTGGGAATGTGATTACTGACTACATGTCCACGTTTGTAGTTGGAGAGCGTCAAGAAGAGCGTCGTAGTGCCTACACACCACGCCGTTCCCTCCGTATCAACATCTACCACGCCATCGTCGTCCTCAAACACCACCATGGCCGACGCCGTCACCACCACCGCCGGTACTGTCTCCGCCCCGCCCGACCCCACCACCACCGCCAAGGCCACGATCAAGGCCCTCAAGAACCGGGTCGCGGTCATGGAAGACGCCCTAAGCGAGATGAGACGGGAAGCACCCAAGATGCGCGAGTCCATGGCGTGGATGTGGGAGATCATCGGTGATAACCGCGTTCACGTCCCGAGGGACTTGAGAGATATGTATCATGGCAGTATGACTGTTGATGCTATTGATTGGATGGGGGGGAAAAAGGGGGGTGGCGGTCGGAAGGAGAGGGGATGGAAGGAGGGGGGTGGTGAGAAGAAGAGTGGTAGTGGTGGTGGTGGGGAGAAGAAGGGTGAGGGTGGCCTGAGGGCTGACAACGTCGTCGTGGGTCGTAAGCGCAAGGGCGCGAGTCCGCTTGCGGACTACAGCAAGAGGGCGAGGGTTGAGAGTGAGGAGGAGGGTGAGCTTGAGGACTAAGTTGGGGGTTTGTGTGTGTGAGCGTAAGGCTCATGTGTATGCCGAGAGACGACAAGGGCGTAGGACTGTGTGAGAAGTCACTGTCATAATTGTATGTAGTCCTCAAAGACCCACCTAATAAACACTTCACAACACAAAACATCAACGTAGCCAACAAGTGAAATCATGACAATTCTTTATTTCTATAGGACATGCATCGCTAATTATTCAATAGCCATCCACCATAACACATGCACGAAAGCGAAATAAACCACTCAATTCAAGGATGATACAAGGAATATTATCGCAATCAGCTAACATCTTCGTCTCATCCAATTCTCATTCACAGACCCATTCTACGAAACGTGGACAAACTGTCCCATGGCGGGAACACCATCAACGACAACGTAGATGACGTAAGGACCGGCAGGGGCAACAGCCTTGTTAGGAGGCATGGTGACGGTCAAGCTCTGGGCGGTGGCGCCAGCCTTGAAGCCGGTGTTGTCGAGGAAGATCATGCGGTGACCCATGTGGACAGAGTGGGTAACGAATCCACCGTAGTAGAGCGAGATCTTGACGTTCTTAGCGTTGGCAGGAGCAGTGAACTTGATGTTGAACTGCTGCTGGACCTTGAGCTCCTTCTGGGAGATCTGGACGGCAGAGGGACGGGTGGGGTTGCCCTGGAGGTAAGGAGGGGTGTAGATCTCGTTGCGGAACTCGGTGACGAAGGGGTTCTTGGCGTCGGGCTTGAGGATGGGCTGCTCAACGGGGTTGGAGCCGGAGATCAGGAGAGTACCGTCAAGGAGGAGGAGAGCGACAGAGTGGTAGAGACGGGCGATGGTGGATGCAGGGCCAGTGGTGAAGCGCTTGCCCTTGGGCTGGTTGGGGTCGTACAGAAGGACCTCGAGAGCAGGGTCCTGAGCGACACCGAAACCTTGAGCACCCTCTTGAGCACCGTTAACCCAGACGACGGTACCGTCGGGGAGGAGAGTTCCCTCAACCATACCACGGCCCTCGGGCATGGAGTCCATCTCCCACTCTGGGTCGGCATCGAGAGGCCTGATGCGGCCGCAGGATGGGTCAGCAGGGGCAGTGATGTCTTGGTAAGGGCCACCACCGCAGATGACGATGTCGGGGTTGTAGTCGTTGGCAGATGAGAGAGGGAGCATGACGGATCCACCGGTGTTGGGGTAGGTACGGTAGGAACCGGGGAGGTCGGGCAGCATGCGAACGACGCTTCCGGTCTCGACCTTGAAGATCTCGGCAGACTTGGATACTTGGACGAACAGGTTACCGTCCTTCATCAGGTGCATGAAGGGGTACATGTAGTAGGGCTGGTTCTTGCTGAGGATCTCCATGTTCTTGCTTACTCCGCGAGGAGAACCGTCGGCGTTGAGCATCTCGTAGGTAGGGTTGTTGTTCTCGGGCTTTGAGGGGTCAAGACCGTTCTTGGATCCAGATGCGACAAAGATGGAGTCGTCGGGCATGATCTGGACGGAAGCATACCAGCGGGGAGTGTCGAGCTGAGGACCGGGCTCGTTCCAGGCCTGTCCATCGAGAGAAGCATCAGAGGAAGAGCGCTTGAGGAGACGGATACCCCTGAAACCATCACCGACAGTGGGGTCAATGAAGTCGAGAGGAGCGTTACCACCGAGAGAAGCGAAGCGGCCGTCAGCAAGGAAGATACCACCGGAGCAGAAGGCGTTGGTCTTGTAGGCCAAGGGGGTGAGCTTGTCAGTGACGGGGTCCCACTCGGAAGAGTAGGCGTACTGGCCGTTGCCGAGCTTCAGTTCAGTGTAGTTCTCGACCTTGTCAAGGAAAACAACCTTGCCGTTGGGCATAAGACCAGCGTGCATAGCAGGGACACCGGAGCGGCCCTTGAGCTGAATGCTACCGGGCTTAGCGGCGCGAGGAGCAGGGCTGGCAGCAGGAGCAGGAACGGAGGGAGCGCGAAGGCAGGGGCCGTTCTGGCAACCCTCACCGCAGTGAGAGGTGGTGTTACCACAGTAGCCGTACATGGAGCAGCAGCTACCTTGGGCCCAGTTACCGCAGACAGTGTTACCGAACTTGGCACCGCAGCTGCCATCAGTAGTGGCGACGCCGGTGGGCTTGGAAGCGGGAGCAGTCGAGGGCTTACCAAGAACTGGCTCCCCGGAGGTGGTGGTAGAGGGGGGACGGCTGCTGACAGGGGCTGGGTTGCCCTTGGCGGGTTGAGTAGCAGTGGCGCCCTTGCATCCGTTCTGGCATCCGTTGGCAGCGAGACAGTGACCGTCGGTGGAACCGCAGTATCCGTAAGACGAGCAGCAGCCGCCGTAAGCACCGTTGGCATCGCATGTAGCGCCACCAAAGTCCTTTCCGCACCTGCCGTCGTCCCTGGGCTTAGCAGCACCTGCAGTGGTAGCCTTGCTAGGCTGGGGAGCGGGCGTGGAGGCACCGTTGTCACAGCCAGACAGGCAGCCCTGTGTGCAGTGAGCGGCGGTGCTTCCACACCAGCCGTACTGCGAGCAGCATGTGCCCTTGTAGACAGTGCTGTTGGGGTCGCAGAGGAGGTTGCCGTTAGCAGGGCCGCACTTTCCGTCCTGAGAGTACTTGGCAGCCTGTCTCTTGGCGGGAACAACGCGAAGAGATGAGCGCGATGAGCGCGAGACGAGCTTGGAGTACTCGCTCTTCAGGTCAGGTACGCAGCAGTCGGTTTCGTCGCAGTGCTGGCCAGTCAGGCAGAGGGTGTTGGGGTCTAGGTGGTCGCATGTGGGGTTGACCCAGAGGAAGTTGATGTTTGCGCTGGCCAGGCCGGCGAGGACGCCGAGGCCGAAGAGAGAAGCCTTCATTATGAGGGTTCACCTAGGCAGGGTGTTAGAAACGAGTGTGGTAGAAAGAGTGTGTAAGCCGACAGATGTGGCCGGGTAGTCATCCGCGATGTCGTTGTAGAATGAGGATAGCAGGGGTATAAGTAGGTGATGAATAGCATTGATGATCCAGGGGCGGCGGCACAACGGTTATGAAGTTGGTTTTTGGCGGGCGGGTAGGACGTCGTCGCATGGCGAGGTTGGTGTAGCGAAAAAGAAGGCTAACACCAGCATGCAGAACAACGTATTTTGGGAAGCGGCTGCGGAGCCCCGCGCGGTAGCGAAAACACAAGGAAAGTACGTACCTAGCGAAAACAAATTAAGTATTACTAGAGGTTTGCTGTATGGGGTCAAGGCAGCTGGAAACGAGTGACAGCGGCCGAGAGGTGGTAAAGAATGAAGTGCTGAAGGCAGGTACTTGAGATGCGCCTACAGCAATGGAGGTGAGGAGGATAGCAGCGGGCGCGCCCAGATTCAAGTACCTACGACGATGCCGCGTATACGAAGGACGTTCAGCCATGCTAGTCATCGCGTCGGCCTTTTGCGACTGGAAAAGGAAAATTCAGGCACACATTGGACGCATCGACCAATAACGGTATTGCTCAGGACAGCCCTAAGGGGCACGAGCGGCAATCTCCACCCTAGCGCAGCCAATGCGAGCACTGTGCGGTAAGATCATCGCGGGGATTGGCCTCGTCGAGCTTCTATTTCTGGGCGCAGGGATTGGTTCGCATTACACGACGAGAGGGGAGCACGGCAAGCGGCATGCGCTGGGCCTGATCCGATGATGTGGTGGGGATGCTGATGCTGAACGTCCACATGTGCCCTCGTAAAAGGTGGAACGCAACAGCGGCGCTATTGATAAGGCACGCAGAACTCAGGGCCTAACCCGCCAACGCAGGATCGTCCTGACAACGTTGTCGCGCTGTCACCAAGCAGACGGAAGAACTCAAGCCTTCGCTAACGCCAGATAA